ATATTATACATTATTATGAATATATATTTTGATTTCCTACCAAACTTCTCATGTTTTGGGACATAAATGTTTGCGTACATCTGTCTGTTTTAAAAATTAATTTTTATAAATTATTTGATCAAAATGATCAAAATATTTTCCTTCTGTAAAATTGTGTACATTTCTTTATTACCTACCTACCTGTACATCCAAGCAAAAAGTTACTGCGCAGAAATACAACAATATGAAAACTATTCATTATGTCTTGAGTTTAAATCATTTTCTACCTTTCATCATTTTAATTTAACTAACATCTCAGATATAGTTAAAAGAAAAATTTACTTCACCCACCACCTTTCATGCCAAAGTTTTAAACACAGATCTCGCCTGGATTGTTAGTGCTCGGTGTGTACATCAGGAATGACACACAAAACGTTACCTCAATAATTGTCCAAACTGCTGAGTTAAAGCCATGTTTGGGTTTGAAGTTCATTAACTGCAGCAGCCATCGTTCAATGTTCATCCAGTGATTACTTTTTGAGTTTTATTCAAATTTGTCCTGTGATTTGTGAGATATTTTGCTAACAGACAGACAAACATAAACATGCACAGCAATTGCATGATTGCCCACTCCTCATGAAGTAGCAAAATATGCAGGATTTTTCACCATGTTTCAGTTTATTTTACATTTATTTAGTAAGTATATATATTTTTAGAAAAGCTGGATGTATATACGGTACTGTATGTGCGCATGTGTGTTTCTCTGTGTGTGTGTCTGTGTGATATTAGAAGGCAGACTTACATAAGAGATTAAAAAGGTGGTTCTGACATCAGCAATGCCTCAGTCTGTTAAGTCATTTGTCGTGAACCCATCACAACATTATGTTACAATTTAAATTCAAGCACATTCAAAGTTTTATTTTAATTTTTAATTTGAATCAAAAGCCATCATCAAACAATCATTGCACATGTAAGTAATGTTGTGATTAAAAAAATCAGTAAATGTTTTAAAATGAGGCACTATATTGACAATGAAAGTAAAATGTGAGTTGGGATCCATTTTTAGACCAAATACATTTAAAACAGATAAGATGGCAGCCATGTTTCCATAACTTCTATTTCTCCTGAAGTTTACAGCCTTGTTGTATTTGAAGGTTTGTTGTTTTTCCAGTGACATCAATTTTATGAACAGAAGCACAACAATCCTCTGTTTGAGGCAAAAATACTTTGACCAATTTCCCCTGCTCTTTCACTTGGCACTCGTGTTCAGCTGTTTTTCTTTTTAAAGTATTTTTCTGCTGCTTCGACGTCAGAAACACAGCTGAACTCTTTAACACAAACATGCACTCATTTACACACACATCCAACGCAGTGACTAGTTCTTTTACAGTTGTTATAAAAACCATAAACAACTTTAGATGGAAATGATTCAGTTCACGTTTTAAAACAAATAAATCACAATACAATTGTTTTATTAAAAAGTATTTTTAAGTCACATATTGTGTTCAAATGATCATGTTTTAAACATGATTGCACGTTACATTATTGAATCAGTTGCTCACTGACAGGTCAAATTACAAACTAATTACTTATTACTTACTCACTCAATTAATACTCACACACATCCTTGTACTTCCATCAAATTGAGGACTTTGTGTTGACTTCCGTTCATTTTTGTAACCGTATTTATGCCTAATCCAGACATTTTCCCTAAAACTAACCATTTCTGGTCTGAAACAAAACTTAATTCACACCATACCTCTAAACCCACAGTAGAGCTGAAAACAAAGTGAACAGGTCCTCACTTTGATAGTAACTATGGCACAAATGGTCCTCACTCTGTCTGTAGTAGAAACAAGCACACACACACACACACACACACACACACACACACACACACAC